GGCAGCGCGTCGTGGCAGCGCGGGCACGCGTCGTGGGCGGCGAGCCATGGGCGGAGGCAATGGGCGTGGAAGGCGTCACCGCACGGCAGCTGCGTCCACTGCATGCCCTCTTCGAATGGCCCATTGCACCTGGCGCACGCCTGCATGTGGTCGCCGTCGAACGACGTGACGGGGAGCGCGTCGACAAAGTTAGGGCACGTCGGTCGCCCAACGTCGTCGCCGCTGCGACTGGCGATCGTCGTTTCGGAGACGCGATGCGCGCGCGAGCAGCCAAAACACGCGCGGCCGACGTTCGAGGCCGTGTTGACGAGGTAGACGGTCCAGCTGCACGCGCCGCAGAGGACGTCGCCGCAGACGCGGCAATGGTGGCGGCGTCGAAAGAGGGAAAAGGGCCGGCTGCAGTGGATGCAGCGCTGCCGGGCAGCATCCGGGACCCACGCCTCCTTTGGGCACGCGAGCTGGACACGGACGTCCGAGACGAGGTAGTTGTCGTCGACAAGCGTGCGCCGGTGGCGCGCCATGCCTGCTGTCGAAGAATGGCTACTGCAACCGTGTGGTGCATGGAGTGTACTTTGTGCGTTTAACTGTAGCGACGCTAGAGGCGAGACACAGGAACCTGATGAAGGTTCAATTGGCACCTGAGAATTTCCGCCAAGCGAACGAAAGCAAAAGAATGCGCGTTCCAATCTTGGTAACAATCAAGTCGTTGGAACGCTGACAATAAGAACAACCACAACCACAACACCGAGCGTGTCGTTTATGGACTCTCTAGTACCGGAGAGTAGCGAAATGCGATGTTCGGCGCGATTGTGTATGAGAGAGAGTGAGAGAGAGTGAGAGTGAGAGAGAACTAGCGAGTGCGGTGGGGCCAGCAAACGTCAATACATCCACACACGCAGCAACTTGGGGTGTAGCCAAAATTCATGCTCTCGAGTACGAGCAGCAATCCTTGTTCGCGTTGGAACGGTGCTTTCACCAGCACGTAGTCACGCAGGCAGGGACCACGAGACTTCGTCGTTTAATTTTACGCTGGTCCCTCCACGCAGGACCTCTCACACGCTATGGTCGACTCTATGTCGCGAGGAAGCTTTGGGTAGTGGGAGGCAGATCTGTTTGTGCATAAAAGATCCACAAGATCCGCAAAAGATCTGCAAGCCACGCCATCATCTCCATCGAGGTCGATGGGTCGGCGTGTCTGGCCGCAGTCGTGAGCTCGATGGGCGTGAACTAGCCTTGTGCATGCACTTGCAACACAGGATCAAGGTTGTTTCGACGGGGATTAAATACACTCGACAAGCGGAGGACGACATGGACTCGCTCGTGTGCCAGGTTCATGGCGGCAGTGGCACGTACGGCGCTTTGAACGTAAAGAAGCTGCGTATGTAGGCCATGTCCCGCGGGAGCGCGTGGGCGCATGTGGGGCACTGGTCATGGAGCGCCAAGTGTGCGCCGATGCAGTGCTTGTGAAACACGTCATGGCACGGCAGCGACACGACGGCGTCGCCGCCGACAAAGCTCTTCTTGCACATGGTGCACGCGCTCGACTTGCCGCGGTAGCTGCCCAGTGGTCTCTCGCTGTCCATCCACTCGGTCGCGCGTAGCGAGTCGAGGAAGCTGGGGCACGTTGGGCGCTTCACGATCGGCATGGCGACCTTGCTGCTCTTGCGCGGCGCCTCGACGACAGACGAGGCGCGCGAGCAGGCGTAGCAGGCGCGGCCGACGTTGGACTTTGCGTTGACGAGGTACACGGTCCAGCTGCACTCGCCGCAGATCATGTCGCCGCAGACGCGGCAGTTGTGGCGCCACCGGAAGAGGTGGAAGCGCTGGTCGCAGCCGCTGCACGTCGGCGCCTTGCGCAGCCAGTGGGACTTGGGGCACGCGTACCGGACCTGAGCGCCCGTCGTGATGAACGTCTCGAGGCCGACGAACGTGTTGCTGCCGTCGCGCCGCCGCATGGGAGATTGCCAACTGCTGCTCTCTGCCGCGTTGCACTGCACACTACAATCCGCAAATCATGCCAATGCACCAATCACGCGCCATTGGGAGAAGGATTTGCGCCAATCATACCGCGCGAATCCAAAATACGACCCAATCCGGGCCCAGCGCTTGCGATCCAACGGCTGGCAGTGGCGAGATGCGCGGAAGATGCGTCTGATAGGGGTTTCGCACTCGGCCTAGCATGGCCAGAGGCTCAAGCATCCTTTCGATCAGAGCCACGAAGGAGGATGTACCTAGAGCACAGTATACGCTTAACGTTAGCCCACTGGTGGATCAAGCGCGTCAAGAAAATGCTATTGTGTTTAAAGCACAACACTATGGATGTAGTGAAAGGATGGCGCGAAGGCAACATCGTAGAGGGAATAGCAGGGATATCAGTGACACGAGACATATGTAGTAGAGCTTCTACTACACACGAAAGACCCACCGTTGAAGACGCTCCCAATGGCTCTTGTGGTCGCGTTGCAGCGCTACAATGACAGCGGCCACTCTTCGCAGCCACGGACTGGTCGCCAACGTTTCGAATCGTTAAATCTGCTATCACTCGGACGACGCGCCTTCTCAACGTGCTCGTAGCAGCATCAGCGCATGCAGATCTTCCGAGATGCGTTGCCTTTTTTGCCACTTTAAAAAATACATTGGGATGCGAACACGCTGCCCTCGACCCGGTGCACCACGCGACCTCACTTGAGGGGTCGCGTACTTCGATGGAGCTGCTCAGAAAGACCCGGATTGCGGTGGCAGTGGCTCGCTCGTTCTTTTGCCCGAGCCGCCCCAGAGCGTGGTGTACCAGGCCAACTACCTCGGTACCGCGACAACGACCAACGAGGCCGAGTACGACGGTCTGATCTCGGCGCTCCAGTTAGCTCAGCGACTGGCAGTGACGCATCTCACGGGCTGCGGCGGCAGCATGCTGCTGATGCAGCAGATGAAGGGCATCTTCCGGGTCCAAGAGGTTCGCTTGCAGAAGCTGCATGTCCAGGCGCGGGAGATCGCGGCGTGTTTTACGTGCACATGGGAACGCCACCCTTGCGAGTTTAACCAAGCCACGAATCATTTGTCCAAGCTCGCACCCGACGACTGTACCTCGTATGCGCATCCCGACGACGGATGGCACGCTGTATTGCCGGCCGATGAACTCCAGCACGTTCAAGAGCTTTTGGCCGCCGACGTTCAGCACACATAGTACGTTAGTCGTAGTCGGTGGAGTCTTTAGTCGGTATAAAGATTTCAATCCATATCATATCATTTCAAAAACACATTGGAATGACAACATGTAATATTACCCACGATTTCAATCCACTCGCTATACAATATGTCATTAAAATCACGAGGAAGCGCCTAGGCTGCTGAAGTCGTACATCGCTGCATGGAGCGTGCTTCTACTAAAGACGTCATTTGCAAAGTGGCCAAGACGCACACGGCAGTGGCTGCCAAGGATGCCGCTGCCTTGCTAGTCCTCGGAAACAACTACAGGAAGACTGAAAACGGCGCCCGTGCAACCCTGTTTCATTTAGCGTCGTTGGCCGTTCCATGGTGGGTGGTCGCATTGCCGCCATATCGGAGCCTTAGAGCAGATTGCCGAGCGGTGCCTTGTAGTTGCTCGTCGATTGCTGACACTGCGAAATGCCACCTACGAGTCTAGACTGCTTGCACAGTGGTGTACTGGCAGCTCATCGACCACGAACACAGATCCAGGGACATTGGAAAACCGCTCGATCGTGGCGGGCGCGTCCCACGATGGACATCTCTTCGGTTTGTATTCGCGTCAACACCAGTGTGCGGCCGTCGCTAGCAACCAAGAGACCTTGCTCATAGCAGCTCTCGAAAAATGGGCTCATAACAACATCGTTGAGAGCATTGAGGAGCCCGACGATGTCCGAGGGGTACATTAATGGGGCAGCTGCGCGCTCGATGACGCGACTTTTTTAGGAATGACATCATCGATCGCGCAATACTACTACCGCACGGTGCGTTGCGCACGCTACAGAGCGTTGCGGCAGGAAAGGGCGCCGTCTCTGCACCCAAAGATGCTTCTTCCGAGCCAGCGTCATCTCGTTGACTGTACTACTACGAACAGTCGGTATTCCAGAGCTAGGGCATTACAACGTCGGCAGGCGATTGAAGCGCGCATGACCAGAGTGGACGTGCACAGCAGTACGCACCACGACGACGATGCGGAACCAGTCACACCGACGGCTGCTGCTATTACTGACGCCACGCAAAAGGAACCCAGTTTACTGCTCTCGTTTGCTTCTTCGCGTCGTTCTCGGCGAGTACAGTGCAAGCAGGAGATTGCTCGTCGCCGCTTGGATCGGTGCGATGTCGTCTTGCGAGCATGGGCAGAGATGTGCAGGAGCATCTTGTACTAGCAGTGGAATGCTGTGTTGGAGGCAATGTGTGGTGGCGATGCGGCGAAGTACCGTAGCCGTTGGTTTGATGGATGAGGATTCGTCACGCTGTTACGCGCCGATCGCCCCGATGCGTTGGCACACCCAGAGCAACTGCAGCACCCACAATCTGAACGATCGCAGCGTTCCGTTGCGTTCTCTCGTCGAGGTGTGTTCGACCTACGAAAAGCACTGGACTTCTCGCCCTTGAACTTTGCGCTTTGTGTGATGAGAGAGTAGCGATACTAGCATCCGACTGTTTAGCTCGACCGCTTGTTTTTCCGCTCGCGTCAATTGGCCATGGGTTCGAGCTGCGGTGGTACCGTAGTGATTTTTCACCATTTCCCACGAGAAGTGTGCAACACTTTTGCGATCGCGTGGTGCTTCCAGCAAGGACGTCGTCGTCGTAGAGTCGTCGTCGTCGGTGGCCGCCGCTCAGGCGACGTCGTTGGTAGCTAGCTGCTGATAGCGGTTGCGAGTCGGTCATCGACGGCAAGGGCACGAGGGGGCGTACCGACGACAAGGACGATCGATGCGAATTGTCCACGTCCAGATGTGTGGTTTTCCACATTGCATTTCACACCACATGTGACACGAACAGCCGTCTGGTCCGTTGCACATCCTACAGCTGTGCGTCTGATCGATGACTGAGGCATCCGGATAGATGTCACATTCGGTTTGGCGATGCCGGGCACAGCCGAGGACCTCCGGAGCCTCCCGCGCGGCTGGATTGTGCAGGCGCGCGACTCCAAGAGTCCCGAAGAGCACGCCAAGTACCTTCGCTACTGCCGCCTCAAGCAAAAGGGCTACCGCGAGCGCGCGGTCTCGGAGATCAAGCAGCTCGCCGCGACTGCCGCCGAGCTCGAGGCGCGGCTCGCATCGGCCAAGAGGCAGCCGCGCGTCCTTGGCTGGGTCGATGTCGCCAAAGCCCTCGAGACCGACCTCGCCGACGTGCGCATGACCAACAAGCAGCTCAAGCGGCTTCGCGGCCTGCGGGCGCAGCTCATTTGCACGATGCAGGACTGGATTGGCACGGTCCTCGCGGTGCGAAAACCAGAGTTGCTACATGACTGGAACGATCAGATCTGGTATGTAGAAACCCGTGGGTGCCAACGCCGTCTCGTGGCAGCTCACGACGCTGTGGGCCGACCCGACCTCACGCAAGCTCGGCATTGACTGGATCACGCGGGCTCGCATGCACAACACCGACAGCATGATGCTTCAATATGGATTTCCGTCCTCCAACGTCCCGATCCTCGACTTTGATATGAAGGAGCTCGAGAACGAGACGTTCGAGTACGTCTGGCGGGACCAGCTCGTCCTTCACCACCCGCACGACCTGGTCCTGGACGTGATGCGGTACCGACTGGACCAGACAATGAAGGGCACGCAGTGGCGAAGTCCCGACTCGATCGCGCTGGAAAAAGACGTACGTCGCAACGCACATGTGATAGCCTCCTCGACGTACCAGATTTCGTTGTCTAGATCGTGCAGGAAATCGGCCACACGCGGTACCAGCGAACGCTACGCGGGTCGCTCGAGCGGCCAGTCGAGTACATGAACTTTATCTGGCGCGAGTTTCACTTGCCAGAACGCACCATCATTGTGGGCCAAAACATTACCGACGACGCCACGCTTCACGCAAGTCCGCAGTCGCGCTACATGATGTTCTGGTACGTCTCGATCTGGTTATATCTCGATTCTACAAATGTGGGGTAGGTATGTGCTGGACCGTGTCAACGCGTTCCAGACCAAGCTCCGCGTGCTCGCCGTCTCGTCGCACTACTTTAACGCGCGTGGGTATGTCTCCCGCGACGACGAATTCGCGTTGATTGGGTACAAGCCGACCGGCGCCGACGAAAACATTGAGCTCGCGCGCTTTAAGTACCACGTCTCGCGCATGTACACGCGCACGACCGGCATGTTTGAGCGCGACCTCGATAGTTACATTGCGACCACGCTCGCATGACAATATTGTCTTTTACTATGTGTTTGGTATTTTTTACGATTTTTGGTGTTTGTAGCATTTAGAGCATCTCCACCCGTCCGCGCTATCTCTATCTGGCTCTGGCTTTTTTTACAGTGTGATTTCTCCCTGTATCGCCGGATACAGCGCGCTAAAAACAAAATGCCCCACCGGTCGCCCTGTAAAAAGATGCAGGGAGTCGCGAAATGTATGACGTCGATAACTACGAACTTCGTCTAGAAATTCGATTTTGTATTTATTTTTTGAATAGTATACAAACAGCAAGTAATTTAGAGTTTTACAGGGTAAAAAGCCAGAGTGGCCGCGAGCCCCGCATCGCGCTCCAATTTGCAGGGACCTCGGCCAATTTTTGCTCCTCCCTGTAAAAAATTATACAGATACGGGGCGATTTACAGGGACCGGTGGGGCGTTTCCCCGGTAAATTTTGAAATTTTAAAGAGCCAGATAGAGATAGCGCGGACGGGTGGAGAAGCTCTTATTTGATGGTTTTTACAGTTGCCGTTGGATCGAGGGGTAGGTACGCACGCCAAGCACCGCGATGCGACGGAAGAGGACGGCACGTATGCGCACCGATCTCGCCCGTCACGCTGCACGGAGAGGTTGAAAGTACGACGACCTTTCCGGATCTGTTGGCGATGGCCTGCGCGCGCTGCCCACAAGCGCGGTGGAGCGGCAGCGCTGCACTGGAAAAGCTGTTCCGCGCTGCGTGCATACGACGACGACGCGGCATGCGTCGCCGAAACACAGACAAACATTTGATTTGGGCCTCTATCATGAGAGAGAAATCTGGCTGCTGTCTACTCTAGTGAGCAGTCTCCACGGCACCATCCTACAATGACGATGCGGCGTCACCGTGGCTTGGGTCCACCAAGAGGCAACCAATGAGAGGCAACAACCGATTTCGTCGCTTGGTACGTGCTCCCGTCAGTGCCACCCAAGGTTCAAGGCGGTCTTCCTCGCACACCTACTACTACGGGCGACGAGCTGGCGCCGTGTTGGCCTTCAAGTCAACTCGGGCACGTGCTTTACGACACCATTTCCGTGTCACAGTATTGCCGACAATGCCGCAACAACGTAAATGGTGTATGCATCCACACCATTTCCGTGTGTCGGTTAGAAAAACCCGCATATGAGCATGCGTAATCGGGCCAGATTCATTGCAAAAGCAAGGATGAAGGTACTGGCCGAGGGCGACCTCCGGAAGCGCTGCGCGACGCTACCCATGATGCGCCGGCGCTACTGCATGCTCCTTCTGGACGACAGCAATACGTCCAAGCTCAAGGTGCTCCTGCGCTCGTACAAGACCAAGGCCGAGCGCGATGGCAGCGCCGACAGCTTTGTGTCGTCGCACGTGGTCAAGTGCATAGGCGAGTGGACAGGCAAAGGCAATCTGCATACGTATCCGCACGCGTTTGTCATCGAGACGGTGCAGAGCAAGCTCTTCCACTGCTCGGCGGGATCCAGCGAGGCCAAGCGGAGCTGGATGCATGCGATCCCGTTCGCCGAGGATGGACTGTACGCGCTGGTCGGGCCCGGCGTCACGCCTGTCTTGTCGTCCTCGTCCCAAGATGACGCGCCCACGCCCAACGACGCGCCAATGCCAGCGTCGTTCCGCGAGTCGACAGCCATAACGGCCACGCCAGTGCACGCGACGACGCTCCCGCCACCCCGTACGTGGTTAGCCCGTCGTAGCTAGGAGAAAGCGTCGCGTACCTGTAGCCTCGCGCACGTCGTCGCGTCGTCAAGAGCTTGAGACGCCGAAGAAGCCACCCAGCGTACAAGACGCCTTGTTTGAACGCAAGGCCAAGCAGACGACGAAGCGGGACCTCGTGGCCGACCTTGAAATCGAGAGCGACGAGGAGGGAGCTGCGCCGGTACCCACAGCACATGGATGATCCCTGTCTGTGTGATTTTGACAGAGTGCGGTGGCTAGGAGAGCTTGCTGCTCGAGCCGTCGTTGCTCGGACCCAAGGTCGACCCATACGAAGTCGACGTGCCTATTGGCTACGTGGCACCCATGAAGCTCCAGTTTGAGGTCGATCCGCAGGCCAAGGTGATGCATTCCGTGACGCCGTCGAATGACAGCGACGAGGACGACGAGCTCGTCCCGATGGACCCGAAGCTGTACGCGCGCATTTCGCAAATGCGCATGGACGAGGCCAAGGAGGCAACGCGCAAGCCAAGAGACGAGGTGCAGCCCCGGGTGGCACGCAAGGTCAAGGCCAAGAAGCACAAGAAGAAGCCGACAGACGCGAGCAGTACAAGCCACGCTTCTCCGCCTCACCACCACAGTAGTCGTACCAGTGGCTCGACGACGAGTCATCCAATGTCGACGTCCAAGGCACACAAGGCGTCTCCGAGTCCACCAGCTCCCCGCCGTGCCCCGCCACTGGTGGGCCCTTGCATCATCGATCTGCATAGGATGTCTGATGCGCCGCTTGTAGCCCGCGGACGATGCACCACAGCCGCGTGCTGTACGACCAGCGCCCTTGCCGCCGCAGAAAAGACCAACCCTGGCGCTGCCCGACATTGAGGGGTTCTAAGCCTATCCATTGTATGTCACTAAAAGACACGAGTTTAAACGTTGATGCAAAACTCGTATTGTGAGCTCGTGACCGAGAAGGTGTCGCGCTCGGTGGTCCTTTCAAGGGCCAGCGATCCCACCGCACGCCCCCTCTCTGTAGTTCTTGAGAGATATGACTTGTCTTTTATCTCACAATGCATTGCTCTACCTGGAGGTAAACGCCACCTAATCGTTCTTGACTGCCTTTTACAGCGAGGGAAAAACCACTCCACTGACTCGTTGTACAAAAGAGCTTTTGCAGTTGGTGTGGTATTGGATGAAGCCAACGCAAGCCGACGACACCTCAAGCAGCGCCGGTCCCCTGCCAGTGTTGCGAGCAAGTACGTCGCTCGAGGCGGATGGATCCTCCGAGTCGAACGTGCTCGTTGCCTCGACGATCGCTGCTCTTCTCGCGCTGCTCTTGGTGGCTGCAATCCTCGTCTGCCGACGCTGGCGCCGCCGCCGACAAGAACTCAACCGCACGACCGCGTTTATCACGCTGCCGTACGGTTTAAACCTGCCCGTTCTCTCGCCAATGGGCCGAGCGTCGACTTTTGGAGACATACGAATGGGTCGGTAGCGCCACATCACCCATGCTCGCCATACCCGAAAGTGTCCTGGCCAGCATGCGCGACCGCCTCGCGCCGTTATAATCCATGCCTACCCGACTCTCCTGAATACTAGGAACGTGGCAGCGCGCTTGGCAATGGACCGTTCGACAAATTTACATAGTCCATAAGACTTATCTTGATATCTCTCAACGTATTGTGCGTTCTATTCGTGCTCGCTAGCATCCGCGCTGTCTTGAGCTGGCTGCTCGGTAGATAGTAACATGGAAAGTAACAATGATAAGCGTGGGTACTATGAGCGAGCTGTTGGTGTATCTGGGCAGTGACTGCCGACGCGACAGCGAAGAGGCTCATTGACCTCTTCTATCGTTCCCTCAGTAGACTTGCGACTGTGGACGAGGCCCACGACGACGCGCTTCTGCGCTAGGTCCTAATGTGCGTCTGGATTTGACAGTGAAGCAAAGCGACGGTATATCGTCGAGGGACGGCGACGTCGAGGGTTGTAGGCGCTTCGGCGGTCCAACAACTCAATGTCACAATCCATACGAAAGTCGTATGTTTCCATTTGGGACAGACTGTCGATCTGTGTGTCTCGAGCACTCGCCTTCGATGGGCGGTTGTGGGATGTGTGGTTGGGACTGCCAAGTGTATTTATGGCCTTCGTACTGCGCGCAGAGCGTGCCACGTCAACGGACGTTTAACGCGTTCAAGGCCGCGAAAACGCGTTTAAACCAGTTTCCAAACGTCGCGCGGTGATTGGTCGGCGAAAATACCGAGCGTCTGGGGCACAGTCTTGACTTTGCAGCATGTTCAGCTACCTCAGCGAGACGCTCAACATCAA